CAGGCTGACTCATATAACAAAACTATTTTAAAGTATCAACCAAAACTGACCATATTTGCACTTTATTATGTAAATCTATATAGCCGCATAGTAAATCAGCAATATTTTGATGTCAGGATGGATTGTATAATACAAATGACAGTAACATTGCAATACAATGACAACAAAAATTTGTCCCCATCAATCTAGATAGCCAGCATGTCCTCTTTTTATTCAAAATATTGTCTCAAGAAAATTTCAGTAGTTTTGATACCTCAGGCTGACTTGTATAACAAAATTATTTTAAAGCATCAACCAAAACTGACCATATTTGCACTTTTAATATTATGTATATCTATATAGCCACATAGTAAAGCAGCTATATTTTATTGTCAGAATGGATTGTATAATACAAATGACAGCAATATTGCAACACAATGACAACAAAAATTATCCCCATCAATTTAGATTGCCAGCATGTCCTCTTTTTATTCAAAATATTGTCTCGCAACAAAATTTCAGTAATTTTAATACCTAAGGCTGACTAGTATAACAAAATTATTTAAACGCATCAACAAAAACTGACCATATTTGCACATTATTATGTATATCTATATAGCCACATAGTAAATCAGCAATATTTTGATGTCAGGATGGATTGTATAATACAAATGACAGCAACATTGCAATACAATGACAACAACAATTTGTTCCCATCAATCTAGATAGCCAGCATGTCCTCTTTTTATTCAAAATATTGTCTCGCAACAAAATTTCAGTAGTTTTGATGCCTCAGGCTGACTCGTATAACAAAATTATTTAAACAAATCAACCAAAACTGACCATATTTGCACTTTATTATGTAAATCTATATAGCCGCATAGTAAACAACAATATTTTGATGTCAGAATGGATTGCATTATACAAATTAAATGACAGCAACATTGCAACACAATGACAACAAAAATTTGTCCCCATCAATCGACATGTAGATAGCCAGCATGTCCTCTTTTTATTCGAAATATTGTCTTGCATGAAAATTTTAGTAGTTTTGATACCTCAGGCTGACTTGTATAACAAAATTATTTTAAAGCATCAGCCAAAACTGATCGTATTAGCACTTTATTATGTCATGTATGTAAATCTATATAGCCGCATAGTGAATCAGCATATAGCCGCAAAGTAAATCAGCAATATTTTGATGTGAGGATGGATTGTATAATACAAATGACAGCAACATTGCAATACAATGACAACAAAAATTTGTCCCCATCAATCTAGATAGCCAGCATGCCCTCTTTTTATTAAAAATATTGTCTCGCAAGAAAATTTCAGTAGTTTTGATACCTCAGGCTGACTCGTATAACAAAACTATTTTAAAGTATCAAACAAAACTGACCATATTTGCACTTTATTATGTAAATCTATATAGCGGCAGCCGCATAGTAAATCAGCAATATTTTGATGTCAGGATGGATTGTATAATACAAATGACAGCAACATTGCAATACAATGATAACAAAATCTTGTCCGCTTTAATTTAGAGTGCCAGCATTTCATCTCTGTATTCGTTATATAAAACTGCCACTAAAGTCAGTATCAGTATCTGTATTTCCCACTTCCATGACTTCTGAATATGGACGGGTACATCACAGATTCCTTTTGGGCTATTGTGTGATGGGTTGGTCTGCGCATAAATTAGTCGTGCTTGCTGAGGTGTGATGATTTAAACTCAGTAGTTCAGGATGGTTTGTATAATAAAACTATTCCACCTCATCATCCAACAGTGTGACTGACATGACAGATTTCATTTGTACTTTATAATGAAAAGTATGAGAAGTTCTCTTCTAGGAAAAGTATACTGTTAGTATATTATGTCGGTTGGTTGATTTTGTTGGTGGCTAAATATCAAGTGGCAAATATTTCATTCCGTTTCACATAAGTATATTTTTTCGGACGTTCAAGATATCATTTATAATCCGTAAAGACAAATCTAACGAAATTGACGAGATTGTTCATAATTATACAACACCTTATGTGCAATAACACTGTACAATTTTCCTTTGAACATTTTTTGGAAAACAGAATCGTAAATCCAAGGCAAACATAGGTGAATGACGATAAGATATTTATAAAGAGACTGTCAAAAGTGGGGAACGAAGCAACTTTAAAAATGATGTTGATAACCCGTGATATAAAAATACTGTTCCGATGCGTGGATAACCTTTCTATCCGCCTTCTAGTTTAAATAAAATCCTTTCTTTTATGATAACTGCATGTGATCACAAGTGTGTAATTTTAAAGCCATTGTTTAATGTAAATAAGAATATGAAAAAAAAAGATTTTTTAATATGTGTATATTAAATATATATGACATAGAGTCTAACGAGTAAAGTAATTTGCTTTACTGGGAAAAAAGAACAATAGGATTATTATTATTGTTTATGTTTACAATCCGAAAAATTAAAATAAAATGAACTTCGGTTTCAACCAATGAAACGTCGTACACTATTCATTCACACCATTCCCAATCGCACGTTACACAATCACACCATTCCTCATACACCATTACACCATTCCCCTTACACCATACACCATAGCACCATACACCTTCTACCATTGCACCATATGCCATACACCATTACACCATACACGTTATTTTGGGAAGTTTACACCATCCAAGGGCTGTATCTATCATTATTGTTGAACAACCAAACCTATCTAAGAGTATTTCATTTTTATAGGGCTTTTCATTCGGTGTCAACAAACCTATTTAAAAGAACTATACACCCCAGTACAATGACCATTTATAATAAACTGTATTATAAATAACGCTGACTTGTACTGGTAAGTTGGTAGCTGTACGGTTAAAAGCTTGGTGCAGTATGCTTGGCGAAAATAAATCAGAGCGTACCTTATTCAGAAGGAAATCGCATTAACTCCAAAAGGAGCCAGAACGGTTGCGTTTACAAGCTCAGTCAGAATGTCTCAATCGGTAATCGGTAAAATTACAGATCAAACCATCAACCTGATATATAAGGATCTAATACAAAATAAAAATATAATTTTGAATCTTTGGTTTTCTTTTTTGTGCTGTTTTCTCTTGTTTATGCGTGCATGTGTGTGTGTGTGTGTGTGTGTGTGTGTGTATGTGTATGTGTATGTGTATTAAATAAAAGAGGTGGGAAAAGAGCAATCAATAGTACATTTATTGAAAACTATCGAACTGATGATAACTGATTAAGTTGATTTAATCGGGTCATATTAGTGCAAAAAAGATATTTGTGTTCTTACTATGTTGAAATTAACTTATTTGATAAAAATGGTCATTTAACACATGTTTGTTTTTTTTAACAAAAACGATATGAACCAATGCTTCACCCACAAAAGTAGTTCATACACATGAGTATCTATATAAAAGTGAGGCGAAAGATACCAAAGGGACATTCAAACTCATACATTTTGATAAGTAATACAAGCCCTGGAATATTGTATCAATTGGGAGATATAAACTCCGTATGCAGACCTGCTGGAACGTTGCTACATAGGAATAGAAAGATCACAATTAATACATTCTAAATATGAACAATTTATTCAGGTAGAGATTAATTTTATGGTAAGATGAGGCTATTTCGTCAGTTTTCTACTTTTATGAACATGGAGAATGTTATTTTGATTTTGTTGATTTCAAAAGGACAACATTTGCATGATCGAACCTTCTCCTTTGCAAACATGATTTATGCATGAGCAAGTTTACGTAAAATTATTTCTAGAAAAATGCATTAGAAAACTGTTATATTGTCGGTGATGAATAAAAGCTGGATGTTTGCAATACCAGCTGTAAAAATAGGTAGGATAGTATGCCTGCACTTAAAACTATGGATGAATAGTTACCTACCTGGACAGTTTAATTCACACTGTATTTCTGACTCCTTAAAAACAAGGAGAAATCATTGAGATTGTGCAAGTTAATAAATTGACGATGAAAAGTAAAAACAAATCTTGAAAAAGGCGACACGTTCATTTAGACCATATATGATTAAAACTGTTTGCAAATATTTTCGAGATATTGGGCTTTCTGTTCATAAAATCTGTGCATTTTAAAAGATTGAATAAATAATGCGTACGTTTCAAACCAAAAGTTGTAGGAACAGTTTTAAAAACCAGGGATGGAGTAATCATAATCTGTAATCGTAACGGATAGTAATTGAGTATTTTTTTTTCCAGTGATTGACAGTAATCTGTAATCAAAGACATGTTTGATTAAATATAATCTTAATTCAATCGATTACAGCCAAACATATGATATAATCATCGATTATTTTTCGATACAATTCGATAACTTTAGTAAAATAGTTTGATGAAATACAACATAATTTAAATGAAAATGTATATGTATTTATCACTTTATAGTACAGATAAAATATTCATTTCAAAAAGAGTTTATCAGATGCCTTATTTCTATATATTGTCTCTTGCTGCATTATGATCAACCAGATCTCCTACCAAATTTTACTGTACATCCAGCTTTCGAAACACATGACTGTACTTGATCATCTATAATTTAAGACCTTTTATTTCCAAATAAGAAACAATATTTAAAGTAATAAAATATCCCCATTTTAAGTTCTGTACTACATTGAAGTAATAAGCTTATTTGTATTCAAATTCCTTAAAGCATAATTTTCAATTACAAATGGAATGTTAGCTTAAAATAGATAAATAGTCGATTCGTCATAATGTTATGATACAAATAACTATCTGCAGCATTACATGTAATATATGTAGCTTAATTTCAGTATAACATTTGTTATTTGTAACTGAATCTTCAGCATGACATGTAGTATATGAGATAAATCGTCAGGATTAAATTCATTACGTGTAGCTTAATCTTCAGTATAACATGTATTATGTGTATCAAGAACGCCTTAAACAAATCACTTGGCTTTAGTACAAAATAAATAGGTTAGATTTTCCTTATTCATCATTTATGTAACAGATATAGAATGCACTAAGAGTAGTTAATAGAAATATTTAATTACCTTTTCTGTTATCCAACGAGACAGCACAAACTGTTCGTGTTCTATTCCATGTTTTGGACATATCCAACTCTCATCGATGTTGTTTAATTCCTCAATGGATAGCACACATGGATCTTCAACAGCACTGCAGCAAATGTTCAGTTGAAAAGACCTTGCGTTAACATCACACTTCTCACTGCTGGTTTGAATATAAAGATGGCTGATGTTCTGAATGGCAGATTTCAAACATTCACAGATACTTGAAACCAGGTCTTTCATTATAAGAATTTTCTTTCTAGCATGAACAAGACGGACAAAAATCCTTTCATCCTCGCATAGAATATGGATATCTAATGACGGATCAATCGTAAATACTGCAGATCTATGGAAAAGCATGTCATCGTTTGTCTCGCCGTATTTCTTCACATCAAAAATACTGAGGCAGTAAGTGATAAACCTGAATGATAAAGCCGGAGGTATTATTGCAGCATTTGAATTGAATGATATTGCAATGTTTCTTTCACTGAAGGATGGAGACTGAAGGTACCCAGTATCATCTTTAGCCTGGACCATGCTTGCTACATAGTAAAAGTCAGCCGGTATTCGATTGTGATTAGGATCATATCTCTTTGGTTCGACTAGTATATCAAGGTGAGTCATCACTGCTAATAAGTAGTCCTTGCGTTTTTCAAACATGCGATATTTCCTTTTTCTCCAAAGTTCTTCTATTGCAAATTTGGAGATGACTCCTTTCTGGCTCATCAGATTCCACAAATCCTCTTTTAATTTTTCGCCTTTACAGAAACTTTTATCGGTGATTATTGATTTAAAAGCATCAATGAGATACGTTGGCAAAAGTGTAACATGTTGATCCAACCCAGGTTCATCAAAGTATAGAATTTTGCCAATAGCATGATTGAATTTCAGGAAAACCTTGAGTTCAGCATCTGTCAATGGTCTTATAGGATGCTGAGTGTTAATCTTTCTCAAATCGTCAAATGTTATTACATTTATATCATTTCGGATAAGATTTTCGAATTCTAATTCTAGAGGGATAAAGCATTTTGGTAAGTTCTGCCCCCATGTTGGTTGGAGCTTGGACTCTCGTATAATACTTGTTTTGATCTTTGCCATTTCTGGGTCATTTTTGTTTTTAGCATTTACGAAGATTCTGTCTTCAATAACCAAATGTGACATCAGAGGGGATCCCTGAAACATGCTATTTACATCTTCGAATAGTTGTCTTCTCGTTGTTTCAACTTCACTCTTAAAGAATGATACATTGTATCAAATCATTTCCGTTTGAAATTAAAACTAAACGTAACATTAGGAATTTAAAATCAATCATTTGTATCTTAAATTCTTACGTTTCTGTCAGTAAAAGGTATAAAACGTGCATATATTTAAATATCAATAAAAGAGCAGCATCACCTTTATTCACATAATAAACACATATCTACCTATCAGTAAATTAAATTAAAAGACAATGACGCTATATATGATTAACCCAACAAGGAAAATGAATCAAATCAGTGAGATAAAAACCGCATTCACTTTCATTGCATAAACTAAAGTTGTGTATACTTACATGTTTAATCTTGTCTTTATGAGTAAAAACGATCATAATCTTGGGAAATCCATGCTTGCTGCCCTTGCAGTATGTCACAATTGTATTTATCCAGAACCGCAGGTAATCTGTAAACAAGGACGTTTAAAATAATTATGAAAGATAGGTATTTTCATTCTTTAGGGAAAATTGCATTTTTGTTTGTATTTCTCAGCTCGAAATAAAACAATTTGGCAATAATCATAACAAATAATACATGTGTTCATTGAAATTATAATTTTTCAGCTTCAACTGTCACTTCCAATGTAAAACCCATTAGTTGAGTATCAAGATACAACAACATGACAACATAAAATGACAATTAGAAAAAGAAGCAATTAAATGTGCAAACAATACTCGAAGGGAACAAAACGTTTAATGACATGAATGCCATAGTCTTCCTTATATACATTTCCTTCATTCTTATCGTCACATTCTTTTAGTGATCTTTGACAAAGATATGTCAAAGGTCACTAAAAATAACTAATATGGCTGGGGTTTGCAACATTATGTAAATGTACACTTTCAGCCAGTTAAATGTTGAACTGAAAGTTGTGTACAAACGTATACACTACAATAAATTCATTAATAAACAGACATATCGCTTGTAGTCAGTTAAGATCTATTCAGTCTATATTCAGGCTTGATCAGTTTTTGTTATTAATCTTCACTTCATACTGTTCAGATGATGTTAAGATCAATCTATCGTTAACGGCTAAACTTCTTTTAAATGTGCAAAATTGGACTGTGCATACAAATTTAAAAATGTTATGATACTTATGCTTTCTCATTTTAAAGAAACTTATATTTATACATTACTTGCAAATAATGGTATACATGTACTCGATGTGGTACAGTATGAATGCCAATGAGACAACTATTTCCAAATGATTTGGAAGTAACAAATTAAAGGCAACCATACAGTCTTCAATAATAAACAAAACCAATAATGGATAGTCGGCTATAACAGGCTAGATGATGGTTTCTATTAAAAAGTGGTCTCAATGGCGATCTAACAACAGCTTCTGATGTTATAAGGCATTGACAGCTGTCAATTTTCTGTAGCAGAGAGAATGTTGACGTATTACATGTCTTTCTATTGATAGAGTTGTTGGACTTCTGTGTTAATGATACATTCATACATCTCCCTGTATTCCTACTAACTGTATAAGTTGGCTGTTGATCAAGAGTCAGACGGAAATTCTTTTTGTCTTTATTTTGAAAAGGGTAGTTTTGGATGAGGTTGTTCATATGTACAGTGAAAAAACTCCTACAAATGTCTTCTATAATACTGGTGAATCAGTTAATACTTGAGCGAATTTATTGTTTTTCCCTTGACATGGTGTTATTTTTCAACCAAAGAGATCATGCTGTATATATTGAAAGCTGCCCCAAGAAACTCTCATGATTAGTCTGAATTGAAGAAAAAAAAATCCTTTGTTTGGTTGATAACATATTTGAAAAACTCCTTAGGGTTGCATAATTATTCGTTCGTTTGAAATTAAAAAAAATATTTGTATATGTTGTACATGTTGTAGTATACCTTTGAATGTGCATTACGTATAGATACATACTTCGCAGTGTTTAATCTTTAGGAAAAAAATATATTTCTCTTCTGGTTATTTGTACAAACTGTTTACCTCTCGCTGTTTTCCGTCCACTTCTTCCTGGCAGATATTGATCAAATTGACAAGGGTCATCAAGGGTCCTACTACCATCCAGTACAATCAAATATATAGCTCGATAGGACAGGAAACTTTGGTGCGTGGAGTAAAATATATCTTGACCCCCAAAGTCCCATATTATTACCGGAGCTACATGTCTTCGGTGCAATTTTTTCTTTCCTACCCTTAGAGACTGCTTTAAGATGTGTTCTTGTGTAACTGATACCTTTATTTCTTTCACTTCTTTGGAAACTCCGAAGAATCTTTTAAGTTTTGTAATAAATCTAGGGTTAGTAACAGATTCTACAGAATGTGTCAACCCAGTCGTTGCTTGCTCTGTTACAGATGACTTTGACAATGGTTCCGTTTGTTTTTGAACGAGTGAATCGTTCATAGAAAAACTGCTTTGCTTTTTACCACCAGAAACCAATGGCGATCCATGATTTGGCTTATTTTCTTTTGATTCATCTTCTGTTGCAGCATTTACCTTAGTTTGGTGAACTGTCATCGGTATAGCATCCATGACGTCTTCCAATCGGGTGTCTTCATGGGAATAATTCAATTGATCATCTGAACATTCTAGATTACTTGCCATTGCCTTGTTGTTGTGAAGATCTCTGTGTTGACTATCTATATCAGACAAAATATTTATCGGTATGTCGTATTGCAACATTTCGTTTTGCTTTTCTTCAGTAAAAATGAAATTTGGCATTGGTCTGTCATCTTTATTATATCCTTCTTGTTCATGTAAACATAACGGTTCATTTTGAAATTTATCTTTGTCCTTTGAGACCCTCGGTGGTGTATCTGAATCAAATAGGACATTTGGTATAGGTATTTCGTCTAAATAATGACCATGTTGTGTATCTGCATCAAGAAGGACTTTTGGCACAGGTCCTTTGTCCTGCCGATAATCTTGTTGTTTATTTAGATCCAGTGGCACATTAAGAACTAGCATTTCATGATCACCCTGTTGTTTGTCTCGATCAAAATAAGCTTTAGGCACTTGTTTTTTGTCTTTGGAATCATATATTGTTTTATCTAAATCAAGAGGGATATTCGCTAATTGTGTTTCGTCTTTGGTGTGGCCGTGTTGTTTTTGCACTGGTATTTCGTTTTCGTTTGGATCACCTTGGTGTTTATATAGATCAAGACAAACATTTGTGATTGGTTTGTCGTCTGGGATACGTTTCGTTGGTTTATTGACAATTCCTTGTTCTCTTAATCTGCTTGCATACTGTTCGGTTGGAACACGTGGCATTTTATATCTATCCTTATCGACTAATTGTTGTTCGTTAAATCGAACAGAGGCACTTGATGTCGGACTCTTATCGTGCTTTTTGGTTAAATCAGTGTTCAATTCAGTTGAATGACTGCTAATTGGAAGACCAAGTGGTTTCTGTCTTAACGACCTGCTGATGGTTAAGTCTGCTAAAGAGAAATCTGGGGAAAAAAAACTTCAATATAGTGTTATTCGTATTTGGCACAACGTTTGGAAATGTTGGGTTTGCAATATTCCTCAACTTAGTTTTTGATTTGGCTATCCAACTGTGTTGATTTGAATACCACTGATGAGTCTTATGTAAAAGGAACGCGCCTGTAACCTATTATGAGTTTGTACCTGTCAAATAGATACTATGTAATCGACAAATGGATACAGCTTAACGATAAATAGGATATTTATTTTAAATGAATTAAAATCCATGTGTTACATTTATTTTTGCTTTTCAATGAAGGTGCAGAATTAACCTCAATAAAACATCACCTCCTTTTTAGTATATTGATATTTATAATATACTGTTGTGAACGGGACTTCGTATGTTTCTCTTTATTTGAACTTTGAGAAGACAGTAGTCAATAAACATTCGTTGAACTGCCAATGATTCATTCAGACACATTCTGTATTTGGCAGATTTTTATTTTTTGAATTTTTCTATCGACGTTTTCAGTTGTTTCCACAATCGATTTCATGTATTTTTGTTTTCAAATTGAATAATTAATTTAAAGTAGAAATACCAATTTTTATCATGGACATGTATTATTCGGGGTAAACATATCATAAGTGTCTTAAATATTTTAACATTGATTGAATAGACTATTTTCAGAGAATAACAGCATTCATAATTGTTTTATGTCAGCATAACAGTATGGACAGTTCTTGTGAAGTTCTGGCGAAGGCGATCCATGTCTGCGATAGAACACTTACAGCATAATTGATATAATAAAGCGATGCTGTTTTCAATATCTTAAAAGAATCATTTTTTTATATTGTATACAATAATACAAACAAGATACATTGAGTTATTGCTCACACATTGATATCTGCTAACATCGATGGCACAATAATATATGTCATATGGTACGGCAATGCCAGATAAATCTAGATTCGTTGCTAAGAAAAAAAAACGACATAAAATATGTTACAGACAGATGAACGTACGGTGAGACGGACAGTCATACGCTTTGAGAGGGGTGTTGTGATAACTAAAAAGGAAAAACACCCATCGCTCTGATTGCATATGATATCCTCTTTATAGTTTGACCTTACAAATCAGCGGTTTGAAGTTTTGTCTCAAATACATCTCTTGTGACATTGTTTTAAGTATTGAAACCATTCCACAGTATACTTAATTTGAGAAGATACAGTATCATCTCTATGTGTTATTGTACAGCCTGGTTTGGATCATTTAAACATTTATTTCATAGCATATAAACATATTCGTTTGAAAGAAAAGCAGTTGTATTACACTGCAACATTTTTAATCATCATAATCATGTACCTTGTTTGCCATTCAACCATATCTCCGTTTCTCTGTCAATATACGACAAGCCTGTATATAGACCGATCCCGTCAGTGGATTTTCGCACACTCGTTGGTCCCTTGCCAACCATATATCGAGCTATTGTTGTTTTTCCAGTTCCCTGTTCGCCCGCTAACATTACTCGTGATTCAAAATGAGAGTAACTTTCTTCCTCGAGTAAATGAGTGAACACTTTTGCTGAGTCTTTATCGAGAGCTCTAATTTCAGCTGGTAAACCTTTAACAATTTATAAGAATAAAAGATACTACTTAAATATCCTCACAATGCAAACATAATTCACACAATATACAGATTTGAATATAAATAAGATATAGGTGTGTAGTTCACATGAGATATTCATAACAACTATATGATATTATAGACTTGTTGATTGGTGAATGTCTGGTGTCTGATAACCTAATATATGACTTAATGTAAATATGGCAAAAGGCTTACAAAAAAAACCCCAGTTTTTTATACAAAGAATAAGATAAAATAACCAATAATGAAAATATGTCTTTCTAAATTTGCTGCATACGAATCGCTTTTCTGGATTAATGTTCATCAGATACGCTTAACCAAAAAAGTAAAATATAAAGAATGTATAAGTACATAAACACAAAGAGAGCGACTTAGCCAGCAAGGATCTAAAATAGTAAAATCAATCTAAGGTCAACTTTGTCCTAGGGAGTCAAAACCTTAGATTTTTTTGATAATTTCTGACTTTTTCAACTATGAATAAAAAAATTGAGTTATACATGATGTCATCACGAACGCGCAAACCCTACTTATTACAAAGTATAGCGAATTTATTTCCTTTTAAAAATGAGGAAATAAATATCATAACCACAATAGTTTTCCAGAAGAAAGCTAATTTAATGTTCCAGGTACATTAATACACATATCATGGACGTTATAAAATACGTTCGTAAAACGGATCTCCGTATTACTGACGTTCGTATTCATTCGTTTAACACACCTTTTTTTTCAAACATCCGTATAACGGCTGTAAAACCACATTATTTTTTTTTTCATTAAACAATATATTGTAAAATATTTACATAATATATTTCTTTCATTGTTATATTGATTAATTTGGAACATAAACGTGTAAAAATGGTTATAAAGAAAATATGATGTTTCGATGTATTAAAAAGTTAGATTTTTTTTGACATGTCGTTATTAATTAAAGGTATACTACCCTGCAAAAATAACATGTACTTGTCTGTTGGGTTTTTGTATTACTGTTGTGCTGTCTCATAGTAAATTTGCCATGCATGATGTGTATTCGAAGGTCAATACAAAAAGGTCAGATATATGTATATATTTGTGAACCTCATGTTTGCGGTATACCATCTTTTCCGCAAGTTTACTGTTTTCTGTATTGTATTAAATTAATAATTAAGATCTATTTTTACATCTGGTGATCCGTTTATTTGGCAATCGACCTGCTACGAAGAAATTTGTTTTGCATGCACACGTATAAAAATGTTGGTTTTTTATCCAACGCAATCACAGGTTTAAACATTGTTTTCAATTTAGACTTGTTAATATTTTTTCGTTTGGGCTTGTATTATATTTGCCTTCGGGTTTATATGATCCGTTCATCCTATTTCAACTCTTCAAAATTCAATTGTCAAACCCAAATCGAGGTAAATTTTATGACCTTCCAAATACCGTTTCGATTCCTAACATCACTGAAGAGACATTAATTGTCGAAATCCGGATACGGTGTAGAAAATGTTTGCACCTCATATTTGCGATATACCATCTTTTCTGCAAGTTTATTGTTTTCTGTTTGGTATTAAATTAATAATTAAGATCCATTTTAACATCTCGTGATCCGTTTATTTGGCAATCGCTATGGCAATCAGCAGGGGTTAAGAACATATGTTTTTCGACCTGCTAGTCAAATGCGTTTTGTTAAAATATATTTTTTCACTTTTTTGGTATTTTGGAAAATGAAGTTTATGCTGTATTTAGACCACTTTACCAAGAAATTTGTTTTACATGCACACGTATAAAAATTGCGGTTTTTATCCAACGCAATCATAGGTTTGAACGTTGTTTTCAATTTAGACTTGTTTATATTTTTTCGTTTGGGCTTGTATCATATTTGCCTTCGGGTTTATATGATCCGTTCATCCTATTTCGACTCTTCAAAATTCAAGAGTCAATTCCAAATTGAGGGTAATTTTATGGCCTTCGAAATACCGTTTCGATTCCTAACATCACTGAAAAGACATTCATTGTCGAAATCTGGATATGGTATACAAAATTTGTGCACCTCATGTTTGCTGTAAACCATCTTTTCCGCAAGTTCATTCTTTTCTGTTTGGTATTAAATTAATAATTAAGATCCATTTTTACATCTGGTGATCCGTTTATTTGGCAATCGCCATGGCAGTCAGCAGGGTTTAAGAACATCCGTTGTTCAACCTGCTAGTCAAATGCGTTTTGTTAAAATATACTTTTTTTTCACTTTTTTGGTCTTTTTGGAAAATGATGTTTGTGCTGTATTTAGACCCCTCTACCAAGAAATTTGTTTTGCGTGCACACGTATAAAAATTGCGGTTTTTATCCAACGCAATCATAGGTTTGAACGTTGTTTTAAATTTAAACTTGTTTATATTTTTTTGGTAAATTTTTAGATAATTTTGTTTTATATAACTTTAGATTTTCATTAAATGCAAAACAAAAGGATTTGTCTTAAAGTTTATCATCTGTTTATTTTAATCACAATTTGGACAACATGATACACATTTGAATGTATTTATACCTATATGTATATACC